GGATAGAGGTTTCTTCATCCTCCAGACCAAATCTGCACTCAGGGTCATCTACGATCCCCATCACGTGCAGCTGTCTGTTGAAGTGACAGTGTCCGGTGAGGAGTCCTGTCAGCAATTTGATGCCCTTCCTCCCAAGCTCCAGGATAACCTTGCTCTCGCTTGGCTCCCTGGTTCCGATTAGCAGTTTGGCCTGCCTCACGATGATGTATTTATGTCAAATTGTTGTAATGAGATTGGAACATAAACATTTTCAGAAACTGGAGTATTTTGACTACAAGCTGAAGTCTGAATATTTGCATGTTGATGAGGCGGGATTGATATTTCTGATGCAGTTTCTAAAAGGATTTTCTGAGTTGAATGAGGGTTGCCTGAATTCAATTTTTGGAAAAGATTGGAGAAGGAGCCCTGATTTGAGATGCCTGTAGAAACTCTTTTCTTTATCTATTGCCCCAGAGGTTATTCTAAGGATGTTTTTCCACTGCACAGAGAAGTGAAGCTAACTATGAGCCGTTATTATGGAAGTAGTTTAATCTCTCGTAGAATTCCTCACCGAAAGGTATGGAATAGAGGCTGATAAGCTATCAGTGATAAAACCAATCACGAATTTAGAATTAGGCACTAGCTGACGTCCCACACATAACCTCACTTTCGGTGGGGGGACAAACAAAGCATTTGAGAACTATTTACAGCACTCAAAACTGCGACACTAATGATAAAAAATTTCACTGCGCCGGACTTGTCTGAACAGGTAGGTATATTACCAGGTTCATTTGAGAAATATCTTTTGTTTGTCCCTGATGTAGGGATGTAGGATTGTCTCAATGACATGAAATGTTTGTTGTCCCCCACTCTAAAGTGACGTTTTGTGATTTTTGACGCAATAGCCTTAGACTAAATACCTACAATACTGTAAAGACAGGACAAGGTGCCTGTTTGTTTTGCTCCAACATTGATGCACACATTATAAACACCACATTGCTCCGCGTAGTAAAATAGATCCATCGTATTTATGTACTGTCCTTTTCCAACTTTTTATACAAGACAAGGATAGACAACCACACAACTACAGCTGGACGTCAAGGAACGCACCCCTGTTGGCTGCAGGGTTCTCCCACTACAACAAATCTTTGGCTGCACTCATTGATAAGTAATTCTAAGCGCTTGTTGATGTTAGATCAAACTATTTGAATGACTTGTCCTGTCTCTACAGTATTGTGGGAATATAGTCTAAGGTAAAAGCTAGCGCCTGCTTGTATTAGGCAATCCAAACCACGTGACATTTAAGATGGCGTGGCGGCCACACATAGGCCAAACTATTGCCCAAACTTAATTTTTTTACATGTGCAGTCTCCTATTTGTTCGACGTTTTACATTTTTATGTGCTTTAACGTGTTTTTGTGAGGAATAAATCTGTTAAGTGCAATACGACGAGATATTATCATTATATAGAGCCAATATTCGCAAGACCAATGAAATTACAGATTTCGTTTTTATCCGTCAGATTGCATACCTAACAGTTTATCAGAAGGTGAATAAACCGGCCCGAAATACAACAAAAATATCTAGTTTCCGCGCGATTTAATGGGTAACGTAATAAGTACCTAGTCAACCAATATTTTATAAGAAATCTAATTCAAACTTGCAAGCAAAACTCGAAGCAAAATAACCAAAACACGCATAAAAAACAGATATTCATAACAAACTTGCTTGGCTGCCACGCCATATTGAATGTTTATTTTGACAGATGAATTGGATTATGGAATGTAATACCACAAGAGGTTTCAGGATTACCGGATAATACTTTTACCTGGCACGAAACGCGTTACTCAGCAACACCACGACTCCGAAGGAGGAGTGGTGTTGCTGGTAATGCGTTGAGTATCAGGTAAAAGTATTAGGTAATCCTGAAACATCGAGTGGAATTCGAAAGGTTATACAACGAACTAAACTTTAATACTTTAAAATTTAAAAAAAAAATCTATAATAGAATTTGCTATAAGTGCCACCAAGCGCGATAATCCCAAAAGGCTGATCACTTATTAAGCCTCTCGTGTCATATGGGAAAAATGTACAGTAACCTAATAAATAGTCCTTCAAACGCATTGTTTGTCCTCCCATCGAAAGTGAGGTTATGTGTGTGACGTCAGCTAGTGTCTAATTAAAGTGTTTGTCGTATTTTGAGGAAAGATCTTTGCCTATAACTCAATTCAAGTTAAATTATGACGAAAGAAAAGTTGCAGAAACTGACGCTTTTTGAATTCTGGGTTGGTTAACTTTATAACCAGTTATTTGGATTTCCTGGATGCAGCTAAAATATTTTCGCACAGGTCTTGAATGCTAAATCGTATGGTGCAGATGTGGAAAGACTTATAACTGAGTATCAGCAATACATTAAAAAGCCTATATGTCAATGTAGCTTGTCAGTAGATTATGAAAATGAAATTGCAGAGGCCGAACAACAAAGATGGTACAAAGGTATTAATGCTGAAGCCAATGCTAATGATGAGGATGAAGCAAGCGGAAAGTTTGGAGATGGTTCTGAGAGAAAAAATAACAAGAAATTTTAGAATACATGTATTGATAGTGCTATTGCATTCTCATACATATGTAGCATAATATGTCAACCACGTATATTATTTTTAGTTTGTTCTGTGTTAAGTTTTAAGTTTTTTGCTTGGAATAAATGAAGAAATAACTACACAGATTTTAATTTCCTACTGCACAATATACTTTTCCTACTGCACATTTTGTGTCCAACTGCACGTTAGAATAACCTCTGTATTGCCCCCCTAATTATTCTTCGGAGATGACGTTTGGATATTGAAGAGTTTCTGCTTTTCAATGGCTTAGGCTTAATCATATTGATAATAAATCTGGCATATACCTATATAAAAGAAAACTAAATGTAGTTAAATCGATTCAAGAATTCACCCGTGTCGTTTCACGAGGAAACTTATCCTGTGACAATTCCATTTCAAAAATATGTATGACTCTGTCTCCGGAAAATTAACATAAATATTTTTTAAATAAATCATTCTCTATGGAAAATCAATTTGTTTCCATGGAATAATCAATGTATTTTCAATATTCCATGCATTTCCCATGTAAAATATTACTTTTTCATCGAAAATTTCGATATACTTGTAAATTTTTAGGTTGACTTGTCTAATTTTATTTTCTTTACCTACAAACTCCACCAGTATTTATCACTCGACAGCAGAATAGAACATTTACTTGAATGAAAAACCGGAAAATCTAAATCGTGGACGTAATTGAAAATCGCGGGAAAATCACAATCACAATTCACAAAAATTTGATATGAAAACGTGGGTACCACGGGACAAGGATGATACACACTACTTACTACTACAGGATGGCCTATCCTCATAAGAGTCATAAGGCCGTTGTGGAACAAATTCCTCCTCTCCCCCCAACGTCAAATCACCAGTTGTGGCGTAGGCAGCACGTTATTTCTCGCCTTGACATAGGCTGTTTAAACAGCTGACGACTTCGTTATGACGTCAAAAATGGTAACACACCAATATGGCGGCAATTACCAAAAACGAGGCCGATAAGCAATCCTGTAAGTGTGTATCATCCTTGACCGCGGGAGGCTTGGCCGTGTGCGTTTGACTGGCTGGCGCCAGTTGCATTTTGGAGGTTGCATATGATTGATGGCTTGTCATATGTCATTAAGAACTGACAGGGTGACAGTTCGGCTAAGAGCATGCAAAAGAGAGAAAAGGATACATTTTATATTTTTTGCCTTGAATTATTGGACTCGCTAATAAAAAAGCCTACAAATAAAAAAAAAATAATAGAAAATGTGTCTCCTTTTTGCATGCTGAACTGAAATTAGAAAAAGAGGCGAACATGGCGAATCCATACACTTTAGTGCATGGGCATTACCGCGTTTTCATGTTTCAAATGCATCGTTCAACAATAAATAAGAAACGTTTCATGAAAGTTGCATATGTAATTGATCAATTTTATTCATTGCGAAATGTAACGTAAACGTTACATGGAAAACGTATCAGATGGAATATTTAGGAAGTGTTTTTTTAATGTATCACAAAATGTTTCAAAAATGCAGTTCAATGTAGCTCATGAAACGTTTCATAGATGTTATGTGCCTAGTAGGATTGGTAATTTTGGGATACTTTGGGTGGGTATTGGTTATTTTGGGTTACTTTGTGTTGTCATGTGTGGATAATTGCTCAGGGTATTATTTCACAGATTATTCTCATATGTGCTGGTTTTGAAACCAATCAAGCACTGTTGTCAGGTTTTCTTTATTTGCCTAAACTATGTTTTGCAAGTTTGGGTTAGTTGAGTTTGATGAGGGAAGTTAAGTTTTTTGTCAATTTTTTTTTGAACCACTAGTGATATTAAGCTGATAAGTCGTGTGGGCAACTTGTTTGATTAAAGTTGCAGACTAACCGGGTCATTATCGGTAAGTTTGATAATTAAAATTGCAAACTAACCAGGTTATTATTGGTGAGTTTGGTATTGCTGATTTAAATTGTGAACTAACCCAAACTAAGCAAGTTAATATCGGTAAGGTTGGTAATGTCTGATCAAAATTGCAAAGTAACCCGGTTATTATTGGTAAGTTTGATAATGTCTGATAAGAATTGCAAACTAACCGGGTTATTATCAGTAAGTTTGGTAAAGGCTTAATTATGACCCTTTAAAAAAAATATCTCACCCATTACTGCTGATTAGTAGTTATAGTTGAGGTACATTTCAACGCTACAAAATATAAGTTTATGCATAATTTTTTTCAATTTTATACTCCTCTATAAGCCCTATTCTGTAAATTTCAATTTCATTCGAAACACTATTAAATTCGGCGGGCTGATTTCGAAATAATGCCAGCACTAATAATTTCAAGTTAAAACTATTTGAAAATAAATTGTGTTTACACGATTGGGTTTTAGCAAATAAATTTAAATTTTACCTAAACCGCTGGACTTGTGTGATATGCATTTTTTTTGCAGACATGGACAGTACAACAGTGGGAAAATTGTATTTGGATCATAACTTGCTGGAAACATGGAACGAGGCGTTATCAATGCATATAAATGAACTGAAAATTAGTTTTAACAACATTAAATGTATAGACGGGGATTTGCGTGGCTCTATTAAAAATAATAGTCTGCGGAACTTTATCGAAAATCCATACAATTGCCAGTGTTTAAAAGAAATTAAATCAATCGGGGATTGCCGGAGAGAAATTTCTGATTGGTTTCTAGACAAATACTTGCAGTGCAGGAAAAATGGAAAGGCAGGGCAAGATGACAAAAAGGATATTTTAAATCCAAATATCAAGATATTCAGTTCGCCTTGATATTCTTGTGCTTAGATTATATATTTACATATTATGTTATAACAAATATAAAAACAACTTTTTACCTCAGTTTCAAAACTATTACAATAAAATATGTATGAAGTAATGAGTTATTTTTGTATTCTTATAGGGACAGACAAAAGTTATTACTGCTCCAAGTTTCAGGCCAGCTTTTCTATTGAAACAAAACCTATTAAATGGCAATATGACTCTTAAAAGTGCTTCATAAATTATTTATTAAGGCGATTCTTGCACTAGGAATGAGGACGATTTGGGAGCAATTGGCGGCGATTGGAAAAACGTATATATGAAAAATATGCTCTCAACTGCGATAATTAAGATTTTTTTAGGAAAATCGCATATTTCACTCCAGTAGAGCAGGTAGACATTTTGTCTGAAGGGGGCCGTGCAGTAAAAATTATAGGAATATACACAGACTCACTCTCCTTTAAAGAGTGTGTAAACCACAAATAAAAATTTCTGTATAACAAATTCTGAGAATAACATTCCAAGCCGCACTATTTTATGCCTAACGGTTTTCGAAATATTCGCAAAACAGCCGTGGAAGCATTACGCCACAACCGCTCGGAAACCGTAGACTCAGATTCTAATAAAATCCTGCGACTCTCACTCAAATACTGGTTGACTCAAATAGGTGAAGCATGGCTTTTGGTTTTGAATCAAAGTACACAAAAGCAGAATCTGTTGGGCTCCAAAGCGGTTGTGACGTCACGTCTATGCTTTGTTGCAAACCCTAAAGACTGATATCTTTTGATAGAAATTTGGTAAAGAGGCGAGGTTTTCGATGCTGTTCTTGGATTTTTTTTAAATATTATAAACCAAAAACTTGTTTTTTTTTTATATGAGAAGTTTACAGCTTTTGTCTACTTCAATTTTTACATTTTATAATTTTATATAATTATTCAGCCATATGGCGGCATCTATTTCCGGCTGAATTAATTATTTTATCGGTGACCTCGAGAAGGGCGTAGGCGCTTTCTTTTGTACTACCTTGATCTACTCGACCTAGGACTTTGTTGCTCTTTAACCTCGTTAATGGTTTTCGAACGTAGTACTTTTCACATAGCTTAGGGTTGACACCTTGACAGGTTGATAGGTTTTCCTTCAAAAATATCAAGTGGAATCTATTCTGGAAGATAAAATTGATGAGCCCCTTTTCTAATCTTGCCGTTACCCCAAAAAGGTCGACTGTGGCTAGGCTGGGGGCAGCCATCTTCCTCAATTGCAATTACCGTTCTCGTAGAAAAAAGTACCTTATCGGCCTTCGGGCACTATCTTAATGAAATAAAGTTGCGTAAGGCCATAAATCCATTGATTACAGAGAAAATTTTAATCAAAAGTCTTGTTATTACCGTTTTATTCAAGTTTGAATTTCGAAACCCTCGTGGTAAGTCCTTGTTATTTTTTTTTTTTTAAGTTCATGGAATGCCTCTATTGCTTAGGGTTTTACCGGGGACCCGTTTTCACCGGAAACCTGTTTTTCTTAAGGGATCCATTTTCAACAAGCCTCATCTCTGGGAATAGAGCTCTTGAGTTCTTCACATGTCGATACCTGTACCTCTACCTTTGACGAAGAAAACTGAGCTTCTAGCCTCTATCTGCCACGATTCCAGGCTAGAATCTGCAACTTCCAAGTGCAACTTTCTCCGTCCAGTGACCAAAAACTGGATGGCTACCGACTACCGTAATCTACCTTTATGTTGGAATTGAGGCTTGTATAGAGTTTCGTTAATAACTTTTAATCTACGTCAGTGTCATTATGACACATTTATCAACCTCATTTAAATGTCATTAGGACGTTCATAATAGCACTAGTGCGTTTAAGAATTCATAATAACACCCAAATTAAATAAACAAAAAAAATTAAAAATATCCAAAAAGGGAGTGCTGAATTCTTGGAAAGTAAATTTATTTCCCGCGTGCTTAAACTTGTTGAAGGGCCATCAGTAGCTGGAACGTTACCCAAAATATTGGTGGACACTTTTTTCTTATTTTCTTTGGAATCTTCTATGTAGCTTTCAGCGACTGTGTTAGAGCGCCAACCACCATGCCTCTTCACAGTTAATAAATCTGCTCCTGAATCGGCAAGCAACGACGCAGACGATCTGCGAAAACAATGTCCAGTGTAACGTTCAGGATCTGGGAGATTCAGGAACGATGCTATATTACATGGCATTTTCCTAAAAGTATTAATGCCAACTGGCTGCTTAGTACATTTCCCATTTCTATACGCCACAAAAAATCGGGTATGATTTGTGTTGCTTGGCCGCATGGCTATATATCTTCGAACCATTTCCACCATATTTATTCCTTCAACATTCCCCTTTGTGATGAAAAAATCTCGTGGTATCTTTGTTTTCGTAAATGGAATATTGATATGAATACATTGGCCTTCATCTTTAACATTTTGAAGGTGCAAATTTGTCAATTCAGTACGCCTGCAAGCTCCTGCAAGCCCCACTATCAATGCAACTTTTATCATAAAATAAGTTTTATTGTCCGCTTCCATCAAAAATTGAGTTAGGTCTTCTTTTGTGAAAATTTTAGATTTTTTTGACCGAAATCCTTCCGACTTTCTTTTGAGAAACGCAATTAAGTGGACGTACTTACTAATATCCGTATTTTTCTTTACTGATATAACTGAACGTAGCATAGAATAATATACCCAAAGCGACGAAGGCTTCCGTTTTTCGCAATGCCTTCGATATCCGAAGGGACACTCTCATCAGAATCAGAATCATTCATATTTTTCTTTATTATTTTTCACTTAAACTGGAAGAACTTTGAAGAACATAGAACATAGACTGAACGAATATACCAATATTGAACGATAATAATGAAGTTGTCAAGCAAAGAAACAACAACGTTTCCAATCAACAAGCCCCGTTACCGTGACATCGACTAGAAGGCACCTGATAATTTGAAAGTTCAATTCAAAAATGTTTCGGGTATGGTATTTGAAGGCAAATCAAATCTATGCAAATAAAATCTATTTGAACTGACGTAGATTAAATTTTGAATGACACGTTCGATATGAACTTTGGTAATGAAACTTGTGTAACTAAACCACTCGGCTAACGCCTCGTGGTTTAACGTTACACGCGTTTCATTATAATGTTAATATCGAATTAGTATCATTAATATCTATAATATCATTTTCTTATGAATTCTGTTTTATAGTCAATTAGCAAAATTAATTGATTAAATTTTTATCGATATTACCTTTAAATTTTTAAAGTTTCAATTTCATTCATGTTATTCTTGACACTTTAGTGAACTTTAAATAGTTGTTACCGATTTTTTATTTGCCGTATCTACTATACAGTGTGATTTTTTAAGTGTGCAACATATGGAGATTTTTTTTAGTAATAGCACAACCCAAATACAAATAAGGCCAAAAGTTGGTGCATGTCTGATAATCAAATTAGGTGCACTTAGAATGGTTGCAAGTCAAACAGCATACAGGGTAGCTCAAACAATATCAAAGCTGGTACTGTAAAGTACCCTTATTTTAGAAAATTCAGCAAAATGTTATAGAGAAAAGTTGTTTGGAAATAAAAGTTATGCCTAAATACCAAAACATAGCCTCCTAAGATTTTTTTTATTTTCTTTCGAAAAAAATCTATAATTTCTATATTTTTTTTATTTTTTATTTCCGCCCTTAAGACTTTCAAAAATTAATTAAAATCAAATCAATTTTACCTAACTTTGTTCAAATTCAAGCATATTTGTAAAATTAACTTAGATTTTTAATTTTTTATGGAATCACAAAATTCATGTTTGTTGCAATGATATTCAACACAACTTTAAAATGTCGCAATTTTTTTTGTTAACGAGTTAAAACATTACTAATGATAATAATTATATTAAAAAAACTCTACTTAAAGTGAAAAAGTTTTATTTTATTTAAGTAAATATTAGTAGAATTTTTCTATTTTTTGAGCCACCCTGTATACTGTTTGACTTGCAACCATTTTAAGTGCACCTAATATGATTATCAGACATGCACCAACTTTTGGCCTTGTTTGTATTTTGATTGTGCTATTACTAAAAAAAATCCCATATGTTGCACACTTAAGTAATGACACTGTATTTTTTTTTTACTTAACTTCAACTACCGCCAGTCCGCCATAATTGAACCATGTACTTTTATCTATAATTTTTATCAATAATAATCGATCAGTAATCTGAACGGAAGTCAAGGTTGGACAACATGCTCTCATACGTTCTTGAGTTGGCAGGGACTGCGAGTGACGTCACCACAAATAGAGGTGACGTCACCCGCAGACTTCGATGGAATGCTGCGATTCAGGCTGTGCTTGATATTTATTTTTTTCGTCAATTTTACATGTAGAAGAGGTGATTATTTTAACGTTTAGGAATAGTGTTTGAAACTCGGATAATGCATTTTACTCCAAAAGCTCAGGTCTGCGGCTGACATGGAGTTGGTAGACACTTTCAGCTCAATAAGCAGTCATATCAGGTACCTAAGTATTCCTGATTAAAAACGATAATCTCAAAAAAACTTTTGGCATGCACATAGAGCAATTTTTCCGCACGCCCTTAAAGGAAATTGTATTCCTAACGTTTACGAGAAATGGTATTTCCCGCACTTGTTAGAAAAATAACTATTTTTTTTCGAATTTGATATGGAAAAAGTTTCCGCCCTGTGGCAGAGCAAACGACTTTTCAGTCCAAAAGCCAGTGCTTGCTCGTAGAAAAAAAATATTTATTTATTTATTTATTTATTTATACTCCTTCAAAACACAAAATTTGTAGTTTCAATTTTATTCAATTTCAATTTATTCAATCATAAGCAGTACAATCAAATTATAAAAGGTAATTATATTCTCTGTCAACTCAAAAGGCGGCGATAATAATAAATAATATCTAATAATAATAAACAACTGTGGTGGCGTGGGGTGGCGGTGATTCCAGTCCAAACATGAAAATGCCAAAAATTGAAACGTCGCATATAAATTGTTTTGAGGCTACCACCAAGCTCTTGTTATTGAGATACAATATTTTATTGTTTGTTTTAAGTTTGATGAAACCGATTGAAAGTTAACTTCTTCTCATTGATTT